ATTTTTGTTACAATTGATTCTACGGATCAAATAAATGAAACCCGGATTTTCTAAACAGTACCTTTCGATCTCGGACCTTGTTGACAGAGCGTTCGAGTTCATGTTCAAGATGATCTAGCTGTTCATATGTAATAGAGCTCAGGAATGCGAGTCCCAGTGACCTTCTGGTACCTTTCTATGATGTGCTCCATTCTGCTAATATATAGGCCATGAAACTTATTAACCATTGGAAAAACGTTCTCTTTTGAAGGTTGGAATACCCTAGGCAGATAAATTTTTAGAACTTTCATGCATTTTTAGGCAAGGTTGAGTGGGGAAACTCATATCAACTGATCATGCAAATAGGGACCGACATAAAATTTCATCTTAGAGATTGAATCCTAAATTTCTAAGGGATAAAAATAAATTATCAATAGAAAATACAAAAAATATCTATAATATATCTTAATTTTAAATTTTTAGGAACGCGGCTGCGCCAGCTGTCCCTCCCATCATCCCTACATGCAAAGTATCCTACATAAGGATGGAATGAAAAAGAAAAAAAGGGAAAAAAGAGGAGAGTGGAGACCTATAGGGTTGAGTGCAGTATTGGCACATCTTGCCGGTGCAGGAGAAGATGATGAGGCCAATCTGAGCATCGCATAGCACAGAGAGCTCGTGTGTCTTCTTCAAAAGACCAGCTCGGCACTTGGAAAACGTGACTTGTCGAGTCATCCGGTTCTCGATCCTCTTGATGACTATCTTTCCGCGTCCCATAATCACCCAACCACGCCTTAAAAACGACAACTTTTGTCTATCAATCTCCTGTTAAGGAAAGACTGAAAAAAGGTGCGTGCGAGTCACAAATTTTTGAAGATAACTATAGTAATGAAGTTCAAATATGGGGAAAGTAGACACAAGGAAATGGGATGATAAAATGGAAACTAAAAGCTTCTGCAACCCTAAAAACAACTTTGCCTATAGTTTTGTAGTTCATTAAAAACAGGAAGGGAAGATATACAGATAGATAGAAAGAAAGAAAAGAAATTAAGAGAGAGAGAGAGAGGAGACTGCAAGTTTACCTATTCCTTGCTCGTAAATACTGAATCGTATAAGAACAAGGAAATGCTTGCTACTTCCCCCAATTAGATCCATATATATATATTTTACAGAACTACCAGATGATGCTGAAGAACGTGCATATATAGATATACATACATATCCTTATTATTTCCAAACATTTACAGATTTTTATGTTGAGCAGAGATCCTACTGATATTTCAGATGGTAACGGACAATGAGCTTTCAGTTCAGACAAATATTTCGGATGACTGAGTTCAGAAGATCAGAATAGGTTATCTAGTGTGTTCCCGTAAAACCAGTAAAAAGATACAGATCTTTTAAAACATATATATATACCCTCATCCGTCAAGTCCAAAATGTGTAGGTTTCCCAGAATCATACACCCACCGTCAAGTCCAGTAGGCCCTGAGCACACAGCCGAGGAGCCGGTAAGTAAGGCCCTGAGCACACAGCCGAGGAGCCTCCAGGTATACTTCCTCCAACATTACCCCCAAGTAAAACATGTTCCGTTCGTAAACGGATATATCAAAAATCATAACATAATCCAGGTCAAGTATCAGATCAAAATCCAGGTCAAGTATCCGATCAGAATCTAGGTCACGTATCCGATCAGAATCCAGGTCAAGCATCCGATCAGAATCCAGGTCAAGTATCCGATCAGAATCCATGTCAGGTATTATAATAGAAATCAAATCAAAAATCAGGTAAAATATCCAGGTGATTAGGGAACACACCAGAGTTTTCAGGTATTATTTAGAGGTACTGTATCAGGTAGAGAAACACAGTTCTTTAGTATGTCGATAGAATGTTGGAATTTAGAATCACTATTGGAAGAGTTCATTAACTGACAGAATCATCAGTTATTCAGAATGTGAATTATCAGGATCATATCTTATTCGGACAGTTTTCAGAAGCTGTACGTAATCAGAAGGGTATTCAGAATCCTTTACATCCATGTCAATTGATCGGATAATCGAACAACTTGAGAATGAAGATTCAGAACCTTAACAATGTATGTCGCCTGGTCAATTCATTTTCCTTCTAGGGTATTTACTCTTTAATACCACAAATTCTTGTCCATAGATCATCTTCAGAATCTTCCCTGAATAGATATTCCAATGGTCTTTATTTCATTTCCAAGGTTCCACTATATCATGAAATACTGACGTGCTTGATTTGTAGTTCATGTTCCATAAGGGCGATACATCATGTAAATTCATCCGAATTTCCAGGCTTAACCTAATCACTTACTTAATCCTCAATCATTGAAGTTACTTAGTTCATTTAGCATCCAAGTCCCTTCCAGTTACTTCGGGATTTTCTAGAGTAATACAACGTTCCTGTATTTCAGATATATATTGTACTTCAGATCCATTCAATTTGGTCTTCTTGGTTGATTTGTCGAACAAACGTTCAATTCTTAATACTGAATGCGATCCAGAATTGAGCTGAGCAGAATACTTCCAAAATTATCATCGAGCTAAACTTAAGAAGACGAACACGCATTCAAGTAATATCTATGCCGTTCAGGTACTGATATATCAGTAAAGTTGATCGGCTTACTTAAGCTGTGTTCCATAACTTTTTAAAGGTAGTCCAATACCTATGCTTATTTGGATTCCTTAATTAATCCAAGGCATTTACTTAGAATAGGACATAAGGGTATTTTGGTAATTTTGGTGTTTATTTTTATTCCATTTATTTTAGAGCTCAAAGATATCCAATCATTCTTAAGCTTGGTGGTATTCTTGGGTCATTTCCACTACAGGGGTATTTTGGTCATTTTATAACACTGTATTTCAATCCTTTCCTTCCGTTCGATCTTACTATTAAATTCAATCTTATCATTTATTTCAGTTCTTTCAAACAATTCTGACAACAGAATACCCCCGACAAATTGTTCTTCAGTTATTTACTCATAACTCGGATATTTCTGGGTCAAGTGCCTTCTCAGATTTTACAAACGGAATATCAGGAATTTTCTTACACTAAGTCAGGATCTTAACAATCAAATCCGTACTTAATCGAGTTAAGTACAAATCCTTAAAGTATTTTCTCATTCAGGGTCAACTCGGACTATTTTACCTTTCAAGGGCATTTCCGTAATTTCTTAACCAGATGATTTCAATATTAGCTCTTAACGAAAAATAATATAATTTAGAGATCCTATGATTAATTGATGTCTTGAACACTCTCTGATCTTGAAACGGTTCTCTTAACAGACTTCTAGTATCATTCACAAACTCTCCTAGGATTAAAACCGGTTATCCATAATTTTCAAATAAAGATAACATTTCTTATGCATATCTGTAATTATATCAGATCAATATGTTCTTTCAGAGTTATTAACCAACTTCCAAGGATAATTCTTAACATCCTACAATATAAGGGTATTTTCGTAATTTTATCCTACCAAAGTATTCTCATAATTTCCCATCCAAGTACCTTTAACATTTAACATTTAACATTTGATGATATAATATATAAATTACAAATCCAGGGTTGATTTCTTTATCACCAATCACAAACTTGTAATTTAATTCTAACAATTCCTCAACCTCTTATAATAGTCATCTGAGCCATATTCAGTTACCTACTTGCTACCGTATTCGTATCAAATGTAGATCTTTATTAATTACACATATGAGACCAAACATTTCCATTCATGCATTTACCAATACAAACATGTTCTATAAAGCATAAAGAGGTAGTAAAGTATTACATCGATTTCCGTGCAATACTGATCGACCATAAAAATTCCATTCGAACGCCTTTGATCTTCAATTCAACTTCCAATAATTCCTCATATACATATCAACATAAATTATATCAGAAACGGAGCTTAATTACGATAAACGGATCGAATCAGTTGATAAATCAGTGAAAGATAGCTTACCAGGTTCGAGTTTGGCGAAACAAACTTCGGATTCTGATTCAGGATGTCAAAAGTATAAAATATGACTTTTCAAAAATTTGAAATTTTCGGTCAAAATCAAAGTCAAGGGGTTTGACCGGTAATTTCGAGGCCTTCGGGTTCGAATTTCGAAAAACGGACAGCAGAATCAGATTTGGAACGTCAAAAAATGTCAGGATAGGTATACTCGGTCGAAGTCAAAGGTCGTTTAATGCCCGGTCAAAGCCGGTCAAAGTTTTGGTCAACTGTGGTCAACGTCGGTCAACGAGTCAACGGTCAACAGGTCAACGGGTCGGGTTAACGGGTCGGGTCAGTAGGTAGGGTAAACAGGTCGGGTCGGGTTATGATCGGTCAAACCGGTCAACTATGCACCAAAACCGGTCAAACTGATCATTTGGACCATCCCCACGCGCAATGGCGGCGCGTGGGGCCCCTTCCGGCTACCTAAAAATCACGGAAAAATTCTTAAAAATTATTTTGAGCGATTTCAAGATACTTACAAAGCTCGGTTTATAATTTTGAACGGCGGAGAGCTCGATTTCAACAAATCGAAAACTTTGACCGCTTCACATCCTCACGCGCCGCCGTCGACGGAGACCAAGGATGACACCGGTGAACTCAGAACGATGCAACGAACACGATGGTGCGGGAGGTGTTGTAAACGGATGACCCGATCGTCATGAATCGATGAAAAACCAACTAAAATCGAGTTATTACTGATGATACTTCCGACTGAAATTAACGACGAACGGCGACGATTCATGACAAAAGGTTTGAGGGGTTTTGTTCCTTGGTTGACAATGAACACGATGGTGGTTTCGGCTCGTCGATCGGACGTCGGACAGTGAGTAAATCGGAGTTGAAAGAAGGGTTGTTGGAGAGGGAAAAACTGGAAAAATCATTCTGGAAACTGACGGGGGGGGAGAGATTTATAATTCAACATATATAAAAAAATGGTTAAATCATGGGTTTAGCCACTGAACTTTCTTCACTTCTTAAAACGGTCTGGCAACTTTGAAATTATTTAATTTAATCCTCAATTTCTTCCAAAATTCCAATTAAATTCACCACTTTATAATTTCTTAAATTTAGCCCCTAAATTGGGGTGTTACAATTCTCCCCTCCTTAAAAGAATTTCGTCCTCGAAATTCATTCATGTCACATAATTGCAGAAATAAAACTTTCATCAGTTCTCTCATATCTTTAAGTAGCTTTTACAAAAGTACGGATTCTCCACTAATCCTTAACCAGCTGAGTATACATTCTCATCAGAATTCTCTCTCAATCCAAGTAAATAATCAAAATAACTTTATCCTTGTGAAATCAATTCAGCCTTGGTTATGTGAATAGGCTCATAGGCTCATAGAGCAGCAGTATATCCCCATTTTCATTTCCAGAGTCGAGTCAGAATTTCTCAGATAATTAACTCTCACATGGCTCGTAAGGTACTTTAGAGCTTTTAGGCAGATGTTACCGGTATTCCGTTTTGTACAAGTATAGCCTTAACGGATAGAAATTTCGGTTCGCTCGTTACAGATAAAGACTCAACCTTAGAGTTCCGACTAAGAGAAGTACGATATAGTCTAGGGGCATGTATTGATCAGACATATTTTGATATTCGACCGACTGGTCTATCTTGAAAAATTTTGACTCAAACCAAAGCTCTGATACCACTAAATGTAACCCCCCAGACCGATGCGGGTAACCAGATTCGATCCGGGGTGTCACATTTGGGCCATCAGAGCGACCCACTGTAAAAATAGCAGAAAATTTAAAACTTTTATTGAAATGTGTAACTTATAAAATAAGTTGTCGCTATTTAAAAATAAAACAGATTTCCAGAATCATATATAAATCAAAATACAATTACATGCCCCCTAATCACATGTACCATACTCTGCAACAACGCCGGAAGAACTCCCTTACTGAAGTCGATAGATGCACTGGTACAATTCTTTTAACCTGAAAAAGGTGAGTAATAGAGTGAGCTTCGAAAAGCTCAGTAATACAGAACTACCAGATGATGCTGAAGAACGTGCATATACAGATAAACATACATATCCTTATTATTTCCAAACATTTACAGATTTTTATGCTGAGCATAGATCCTACTGATATTTCAGATGGTAACGGACAATAAGCTTTCAGTTCAGGCAAATATTTCGGATGACTGAGTTCAGGAGATCAGAATAGGTTATCTATTGTGTTCCCGTAAAACCAGTAAAAAGATACAGATCTTTTAAAACATATATATATACCCCCATCCGTCAAGTCCAAAATGTGTAGGTTCCCCAGAACCATACACCCACCGTCAAGTCCAGTAGGCCCTGAGCACACAGCCGAGGAGTCGGTAAGTAAGGCCCTGAGCACACAGCCGAGGAGCCTCCAGGTATACTTCCTCCAACATTACCCCCCAAGTAAAACATGTTCCGTCCGTAAACGGAAATATCAAAAATCATAACATAATCCAGGTCAAGTGTTAGATCAAAATCCAGGTCAAGTATCCGATCAGAATCCAGGTCAAGTATCCGATCAGAATCCAGGTCAGGTATTATAATAGAAATCAAATCAGAAATCAGGTAAAATATCCAGGTGATTAGGGAACACACCAGAGTTTAAAGGTATTATTTATAGGTACTGTATCAGGCAGAGAAACACAGTTCTTCAGTATGTCGATAGAATGTTGGAATTTAGAATCACTATTGGAAGAGTTCATTAACTGACAGAATCATCAGTTATTCAGAATGTGAATTATCAGGATCATATCTTATTCGGGCAGTTTTCATAAGTTGTACGTAATCAGAAGGGTATTCAGAATCCTTTACATCCATGTCAATTGATCGGATAATCGAACAACTTGAGAACGAAGATTCAGAACCTTAACAATCTATGTCGACTGGTCAATTCATTTTCCTTCTAGGGTATTTACTCTTTAATACCACAAATTCTTGTCCATAGATCATCTTCAGAATCATCGCTGAATAGATATTCCAATGGTCTTTATTTCATTTCTAAGGTTTCACTATATCATGAAATACTGACGTGCTTGATTTGTAGTTCATGTTTCATAAGGGCGATACATCATGTAAATTCATCCGAATTTCCAGGCTTAACCTAATCACTTAATCCTTAATCATTGAAGTTACTTAGTTCATTTAGCATCCAAGTCCCTTCCAGTTACTTTAGGATTTTCCAGAGTAATACAACGTTCATGTATTTCAGATATATATTGTACTTCAGATCCATTCAATTTGGTCTTCTTGGTTGATTTTTCGAACAAACGTCCAATTCTTAATATTGAATGCGATCTAGAATTGAGCTGAGCAGAATACTTCCAAAATTATCATCGAGCTAAACTTAAGAAGACGAACACGCATTCAAGTAATATCTATGTCGTTCAGGTACTGACATATCATTAAAGTTGATCGGCTTACTTAAGTTGTGTTCTATAACTTTTTAAAGGTAGTCCAATACCTATGCTTATTTGGATTCCTTAATTAATCCAAGGCATTTACTTAGAATAGGACATAAGGGTATTTTGGTAATTTTGGTGTTCATTTTTATTCCATTTATTTCATAGCTCGAAGATATCCAATCATTCTTGAGCTTGGTGGTATTCTTGGGTCATTTCCACTACAGGGGTATTTTGGTCATTTTACAACAGTGTATTCCAATCCTTTCCTTCCGTCCGATCTTACTATTAAATTCAATCTTATCATTTATTTCAGTCCTTTCAAACAATTCTGACAACAGAACACCCCCGACAAATTGTTCTTCAGGTATTTACTCATAACTCGGATATTTCAGGGTCAAGTGCCTTCTCAGATTTTACAAACGGAATATCAGGAATTTTCCTACACTAAGTCAGGATCTTAACAATCAAATCTGTACTTAATCGAGTTAAGTACAAATCCTCAAAGTATTTTCTCATTCAGGGTCAACTCGGACTATTTTACCTTTCAAGGGCATTTTCGTAATTTCTTAACCAGATGATTTCGATATTAGGTCTTAACGAAAATAATATAATTTAGAGATCTTATGATTAATTGTTGTCTTGAACACTCTCTGATCTTGAAACGGTTCTCTTAACAGACTTCTAGTATCATTCACAAACTCTCCAAGGATTAAAACCGGTTATCCATAATTTTCAAATAAAACTAACATTTCTTATGCACATCTGTAATTATATCAAATCAATATGTTCTTTCTGAGTTATTAACCAACTTCCAGGGATAATTCTTAACATCCTACAACATAAGGGTATTTTCGTAATTTTACCCTACCGAAGTATTCTCATAATTTTCCATCCAAGTACCTTTAACATTTAACCTTTGATGATATAAAATATAAGTTACAAATCCAGGGTTGATTTCTTTATCACCAATCACAAACTTGTAATTTAATTCTAACAATTCCTCAATCTCTTATAATAGTCATCTGAGCCATATTCAGTTACCTACTTGCTATCGTATTCGTATCAAATGTAGATCTTTATTAATTACACATATGAGACCAAACATTTTCATTCATGCATTTACCAATACCAACATGTTCAATAAAGCATAAAGAGGTAATAAAATATTATCTCGATTTCCGTGCAATATTGATCGACCATAAAAATTCCATTCGAACGCCTTTGATCTTCAATTCAACTTCCAATAATTCCTCAGATACATATCAACATAAATTATATCAGAAACGGAGCTTAATTGCGATAAATGGATCGAATCAGGTGATAAATCAGTGAAAGACAGCTTACCGGGTTCGAATTTGGCGAAACGGACTTCGGATTCGGATTCAGGACGTCGAAAGTATAAAATATGACTTTTCAGAAATTTGAAATTTTCGGTCGAAATCAAAGTCATCGGGTTTGACCGGTAATTTCGAGGCCTTCGAGTTCGAATTTCAAAAATCGGACAGCGGAATCGGATTTGGAATGTCGAAAAATGTCAGGATAGGTATACTCGGTCGAAGTCAAAGGTAGTTTAATGCCCCGTCAAAGCCGGTCAAAGTTTTGGTCAACGGTGGTCAACGACGGTCAACGTGCAACGAGTCAACGGTCAACGGGTCGGGTCAATGGGTCGGGTCGAGTCAGCAGGTCGGGTAAACGGGTCGGGTCGGGTTATGACCGGTCAAACCGATCAACTATGCACCAAAACCGGTCAAACCGGTCATTTGGACCATCCCCACGCGCAGTGGCGGCGCGTGGGGCTCCTTCCGGCTACCTAAAAATCACGGAAAAATTCTTAAAAATTATTTTGAGCGATTTCAAGATACTTACAAAGCTCGGTTCACAATTTTGAACGGCGGAGAGCTCGATATCAACAAATCGGAAACTTTGACCGCTTCACCTCCTCACGCGCCACCGTCGACGGAGACCAAGGATGACACCGGCGAACTCGAAACGATGCAACGAACACGATGGTGCGGGAGGTGTCGTAAACGGATGACCTGATCGTCGTGAATCGATGAAAAACCAACTAAAATCGAGTTATTACCGACGATACTTCCGACTGAAATTAACGACGAACGGCGACGATTCACGATGAAATGTTTGAGGGGTTTTGTTCCTTGGTTGACAATGAAAACGATGGTGGTTTTGGCTCGTCAATCGGACGTCAGACGGTGAGTAAATCGGAATTGAAAGAATGGTTGTTGAAGAGGGAAAAACTGGAAAAATCAAGAAACTGACGGGGGAGAGATTTATAATTCAACATATATAAAAAATGGTTAAATCATGAGTTTAGCCACTGAACTTTCTTCACTTCTTAAAATAGTCTTCTAACTTTGAAATTATTCAATTTAATCCTCAATTTCTACTAAAATTCCAATTAAATTTAGCACTTTATAATTTCTTAAATTTAGCCCCTAAATTGGGGTGTTACAAGAAACATTTTTAACATTATGCCTAATCGAAACTCAAAAAAAACGAATCTAACTTGATTCAATTTGATTTGATCATAAAATCAAATCTAAATTCAAATGAATTTAAACCTGAATCTGAGTTGAAGAGTAACTCGAAATGATCATATTAG